AGCATTTTCATTTATTCGATTTTGCAATTTATTCGATTTTTTAGTTTTTCGATTTATCAAGTTTTCATTTTTTTTGTTTCTTCGGTTTTTAGATTTTACGATCTTTGGATTTAAATTTCCTCGAGTTTTCAATTTATAATTTTTCAATTTTTCCATTTCGCAATTTTTCATTTCTTCAATTTTTTGATTTGCAATATTTCATTTCGTCAAATTTTCGATTTTTCAATGTTTTGATTTTTTAATTTTTTTTCAATGTAAAATTCTTCAATTTTTTTAATTTAAATTTTCTCGCGTTTTCAATTTTTAATTTTTCAATTTATCGGTTTATTAATTTTTCGTGTCTTCAACTGTTCTATTTAAAATTTTTCGTTAATGTTTTTTTCTTTATGTTTCAAATTTTGGGTTTTTAAAACATCCTAATTTTATGTATTTATTTTCAATGTGAAATTTTTCAATGTTTGGATTTTTCAATTTTTAGATTTTTTTCAATTTTAGATTTTTGAGTTTCTCGATTTTTCAATGTTTGAATTTTACAATTTTAGAATTTTTTCTCTTTTCAATGATTGGATTTTAAAACTTTTTTATTTATTCGATTTTGCAATTTATCCGATTTTTTAGTTTTTCGATTTATCAGGTTTTCATTTTTTTTGTTTCTTCAGTTTTTAGATTTTACGATCTTTCGATTTAAATTTCCTCCAGTTTTCAATTTATAATTTTTCGATTTCACAATTTTTCGTTTCTTCAATTTTTTGATTTGCAATATTTCATTTCGTCAAATTTTCGATTTTTCAATATTTTGATTTTATAATTTTTTCTTTAATATAAAATTCTTCAATTTTTTAAATTTAAATTTTCTCGCGTTTTCAATTTTTAATTTTTCAATTTATCGGTTTATTAATTTTTCGTGTCTTCAACTGTTCTATTTAAAATTTTTCGTTAATGTTTTTTTCTTTATGTTTCAATTTTTGGGTTTTTTAAACATCCTAATTTTATGTATTTATTTTCAATGTGAAATTTTTCAATGTTTGGATTTTTCAATTTTTAGATTTTTTCAATTTTAGATTTTTGAGTTTCTCGATTTTTCACTGTTTGAATTTTACAATTTTAGATTTTTTTTCTCTTTTCAATTATTGGATTTTAAAACTTTTTCACTTATTCGATTTTGCAATTTATCCAATTTTTTAGTTTTTCGATTTATCAGTTTTTCATTTTCTTTTGTTTCTTCAGTTTTTAGATTTTACGATCTTTCGATTTAAATTTCCTCCAGTTTTCAATTTATAATTTTTCAATTTTTCGATTTCACAATTTTTCGTTTCTTCAAATTTTTTGATTTGCAATATTTCATTTCGTCAAATTTTCGATTTTTCAATATTTTGATTTTATAAATAACTAAAAAAAAATAAATAACTTTTTTCAATGTAAAATTCTTCAATTTTTTTAATTTAAATTTTCTCGAGTTTTCAATTTTTAATTTTTCAATTTTTCAGTTTTTTAATTTTTCGTGTCTTCAATTTTTTGATTTGCAATTTTTTATTTTTGTTTTTTTCTTTATAAGTATTTAAATTTTTAGGGTTTTTAAACATTCTGATTTTATATATATTTTTTGCAATGGTTGGATTTTTCAATTTTTCGATTTGCAATTTTTCTGTTTTCGTTTTTTCGATTTTTCAATTTTTAGATTTATTTCAATTTTAGATTTTTCAGTTTCCCGATTTTTCAATTTTTCAATTTTACGATTTGAGATTTTTTTTCAGCTATTGAATTTTAAAACGTAAATAACACACTGACTTGAATTTTTCAATTTTTCGTTTTTTTTTCTTGTTTTAACAAGTTTTCGAGTTTTCAATTTTTAGTTTTTCAATTTTTCGTTGAAGTTTTTTATTTTCTTTGTTTTTTCAAATATTCAATTTTTAAATGCTCCGATTTTATAAATCTTTATTATTTCGATTTTAATTTTAAAAATTTTTCATTTTTTTTTTCTTCAGATTTAGATTTTGCTATTTTTCGATTTAAATTTTTTCGAGTTTTTAATTTTTCAATTTTGTAATTTTTCATTTCTTCAAATTTTGGATTTTTCAATGTTTTGATTTTATAAATTGTCTTTTTTCAATGTAAAATTCTTCAATTTTTTAAATTTAAATTTTCTCGAGTTTTCAATTTTTAATTTTTCAATTTTCTACTTTGCAATGTTTCGTTTCGATATAAATTTTTTCGAGTTTTCAATTTTTCATTTCTTCAATTTTTCGATTCACAATTTTTCATCTCTTCAAATTTTCGATTTTTCAATGATCTGATTTGATAAATTTTCTTTCTTTCAATGTAAAATTTTTCAATTTTTTTAATTAAAATTTTCTCGAGTTTTCAATTTTTAATTTTTCAATTTTTCGGTTTTTTAATCTTTCGTGTCTGCAATTTTTCAATTTGCAACTTTTTGTTTGTGTTTTTGTCTTTATATTTCAATTTTTAGGTTTTATTCAATGTTCCAATTTTTTTAATTTTCTTTTTTTCAATGTATTTTTTTTTTTATTTTTAAAATTTAAATTTTCTCGAGTTATCAATTTTTCGATTTGCAATTTTTTGTTTTTATTTTTTTCTTTATATTTCAGTTTTTAGGTTTTTCAATCTTCTGATTTGATTTTTTTTTCAAAGTGAAATTTTTCAAATTTTCGGTTTTCATTTTTTTGATTTTTCAAATTTTAGATTTTGGAATTTTCCCGATTTTTTAGTTCCCCGATTTTTCAATTTTTCATATTTTTTGTTTCTTCGGTTATTAAAATTTGTAATTTTCGAATTAAATTTTTTGTTTTCATTTTTTAATTTTGCGATTTTGCAATGTTCTGATTTTATAAATTTTCGTTTTTTCAGGGTAAAATATTTCAATTTTTTAAATTTAAATTTTCTCGAGTTTTCAATTTTTTATTTTTCAATTTTTCGTTTTTTCAATGTTTGGGTTTGCAAGTTTTTGTTTGTTTTTTCTTTATATTTCAATTTTTAGGTTTCTTAAACCTTCTGATTTTTTTTCAATGTGAAATTATTCAATTTTTGGATTTTTCGGTTTTTCGGTTTGCAATTTTTAAGTTTTCATTTTTCCTATTTTTCAATTTTTAGATTTTTTCAATTTCAGATTTTTCAGTTTCTCGATTTTTCAAGTTTACGATTTTAGGATTTTTCACTTTTCGGTTATTGGATTTTAAAATTTTTTCATTTATACGACTTTTCAGTTTTTCGATTTTCCACCATTTCGATTTTGCAATTTATTCGATTTTTTAGTTTTTCGATTTTTCAATTTTTCCTCTTTTTTTCAGTTTTTAGATTTTGCAATTTTTCATTTCTTCAATTTTTCGTTTCGGCTTTTAATTTTCTCAATTTTTCAATTTTTCGATTTTTCAATGTTCTGATTTTTTAACTTTTCTTTTTTCTAACGTAAAATGTTTAAATTTTTTAAATTTAAATTTTCTGAAGTTTCCAATTTTTCGGATTGCAAAATTACAATTGAAACGTCGAAAATGAAGACACAAAAAGCATAAAATAAAGACTTGAAAATTAAAAATTGAAAATTCTAGAAAATTTAAAACGAAAAATCGCAAAATCTAAAAACTGAAGAAACACAAAACATGAAAAATTGAAAAATCGCAAATCGAAAAATTGAAGAAACAAAAATTTTTTAAAATTAAAATCGAAAAAACAAAAATTTATAAAATCGAAACATTTAAAAATCTAATATTTGAAGAAACAAAGAAAATAAAAAACTGAAACCAAAAATTGCAAACTGGAAAATTGAAAAATTAAAAAATTGAGAAATCTAAAAATTGGAAATGAAGAACTTGAAAAATTGAAGAAACGAAAAATTGAAAGATTAAAAATTGAGAAACTTAAAAATTGAAAATGTGCAAAATCGAGAAACGAAATATTGTAAAATCAAAAATTGAAAATTTGAAGAACTGAATAAACGAAAAATACTGAAAACATAAAGGAAATTATAATATTCGGGAAAATGGTTGTGTTGATTTCAACCACTACAATAAATTGCCTCATTTATTAATTTTTTTGAGCCACCCTGTATAAGTAATTCTGAAATCTATGAGTGCATTGATAAACCACACTTATAAAGTCATAATATTTTTCTTATGTCAGAGGACGTCATACATTTTTTGGAACAGGATAAACGATAAATTGTGATTCAACCACGTGTGAAGGATTATCTTATTCTTCAAAATTAAAATAATATTAATACTAATATAAATTTTGGGGATGACGTCATCCTATTGTTGGTGGAGATGTTTGTGTGAAACGAGGGACCTATTTTTTCGTACTCTAGCCTACGCTAGGAAGCAAAAACATTTAAAATTAGTTTAAAACTATGAATTACAATACCTTCGGTCAAAATTGGGCGATGGAATCAGTATTTTCCTGAGTACAACCCTGAGATTTATGTAAATTTCAAAGGTGCTTGCATTATTTCGAAGAAATTACCGGGGGTCTTCGAAAAGGAGGTCGTTTGAACATTATCGGCCTAAATGTCTCTAATAGGTTATAAAATTTTATTAGTGTACAAAAATAGTAATATTTTTAAGCAAATTATAATATGAATGTTGTTTAAGTGTTAAATGCCAAGAAAAAATCATAAATTTCGAGCAAAATCGTGTATTTGGACGCTAACGCGCGACTTCCATTTTTTGACACGTGATAGTAAAATCTGTCTCGAAATAGATTTTTTTCGTTACGGAGATCCTCGTTTTGTCGTTCTCGAGTTAAGAAAATAACAATAACAAATTTTTATTTTTTTTATGAGTGTAGTTATCTATGAATAATAATCGAAGCGCTTGCCGCGTGCATCATCACAAGTACATATATAACAACTCTAATTATGTAAAAATGCTGACGCTCAATCAGGTTTCCAGTAGCAAAATCGGTCCAACCCAAGAAACAACCGAAAGAATTCAAAGAATGCAAAAGCCCGTCGAAGAACGCATTTTCGCCGTATCCGTTCCGAAAATTACCTCTTTTTGGCGCGTCCTCGTCGATCCTTGTTTACGAGCCAGCGGTTTGCGTTACTTCCGTGGAAATCCAGACGGCAGCTACATGGCCCGGGGGCTCCTCTCCAGCGCCCGAAAAGCCCAAAACGGTCTCGGCACCGGCACAGAGCACTCTGGTCATAACACTAGAATTCCCAAGCCGCGTAGATTGAGTAAATTAGGAAACGGCACCTACGCGTTCGTCAGTTTTTATTGGTAAAGTCACAGTTTGCACTCTTCACTGTTAATTACGCGCGGTGTGTTGGTGTCGATGTTTTCGATCAGACTGGAACCAGACTTGGTGTCGACTCGCTTCCAGCGCGATTTCACAATTTTTTCAGCGTTTTGGGACCGCCGCCGCCCGCCGCAACGCACTACATTAATTGCACTAATATGGCGATAAGTAGTCTAAGCCGCTTTTTTCCAGGGATTAGCATACGCATTAATCGAGCCCATCGGCACGACTACCTCTTGATTGGTCGCCTTTTGCGCGGAATGGCGCAGTTTAAACGCCATTTTACCGGGCGATACCTGGCCAGGGGCACCGGAAAGCCCGATTTATTGGGGATGGGGGACGAGGACCCTAGGGGACCGGAAATTGGCGCAAGGGTTGTAAGCCGGACGATGCGATTTATGGCACCCGAGTTATGAATGGAGGCGAGCACTTTGAGGAAGGCACAGAGGATTTTCCGAAGTTTGGGGTAGAAAATATTTATTCAGATGAAATTACACGAACTGTTGATTGTTAACGAATTGGCCAGGATTTGTAAAAAAAAAAATGGAGAGAATATACAAGAGAGTTCGGTAAGGTCTAGGCAACCAGTAAAACACACAGCAACTTGGTTCTGAATAGTCTGAATTTATCCGGACTTAATACGGAAAGGTTCGAAGATTCTGTTCAACTGTTACTTAATTAATAATTTTAGTCCTCTGTTTTGAGGCGACAAACTCATTCAAATTAAATAAATTTCTACGTGACATTCTTCCAATGTATAAACAAACACTTGAAATTAAAGCTTGTTATTGTTGCTGTTGAGCTTAAAGTTCCCGTTATAGTTATTAACTTTACCACTTTAGACATGTTTTAAGTTTCTCGTTGCCAAAATAAGTCTACACATTTTAAGAAAAAAAAAAGGCAAAATGTAGCCCCGCCCACCCACCCTGTCTCAATTCTGATCATTTTTTTTATTCGTCGTGAGCCAAGAGGGCGGAGCTTAACTGCAAAATCCCTATTTCTCTACGAGAAATTAAAAACATGTTTTTGAGTATCGTGTTGTTCAAAGAATACTATGTATATTTTGCCTTTTTTTCTTCTAGTAGTTGTTGTAAAAAGGAACTGCATATATTAAGAGAAAAAAAGCTAAAATATAAGCCCCGCCCACCCACCCGATCTCAATTGTGATGATATTCGTCGTGAGTCGAGAGGTGGAGCTTACTTGCAAAACTCCTACTTGGGGTAATTCTTAATTTTTTTTAATCATAGATTTTACCACTTGCTAAAATAATATCCAATTGTCATTTCACAGCAAAAAAAAAATAATAAACCAATGAAATTCAAAAGCGAAGGTGGGTGGGGTTTATTTTTAAATTTTATGTCTAATAGATTCCATTATTCATCAATAAAAAGTCCACCTTTCGTCGTAAAATGAGTGATCAAACATCTAATTAAAAAAAATCATCGCAATTGGGATGGGGTGAGTGGGCGGGGTTTATATTTTGCCTTTTTTTTCTTAATGTACATAGTAGTCTTTGAGCAAAACGATACTCAAAAACATGTTTTTAATTTCTTGTAAAAAAATAAAGATTTTGCAGTTAAGCTCCGCCTTCTTGCTACATGGCGAATCAAAACATCATCACAATTGAGATAGGGCTGGTGGGCGGGCTTACATTGTGCCTTTTTGTTTTAATATGTGTGAATTGCTCCGCCCCATAATTGCAAAATCCATAATTCCTTGCAAAAATGTACCATTTTAACCATGTTTTAAGTTTCTTGTTGTGAAAAGATGGCTATGTACATTAAGAATCAAAAAGCAAAACGTAAGCCCCGCCCACCCACCCTATCTCACTTCTGATGATTTTTTTATTCGTTGTAAGGCGAGAGGGCGGACCTTAGCTGCAAAATCGTTATTACTCACGAGAAATTAAAAACATGTTTTTGAGTATCGTATAGTTCAAAGAATACTATGTATATTAAGAAAAAAATAAAGTCAAAGATTAGGCCCCACCCATACCCGCCCTAATCTCAATTCTCAATTGTAATAAATTTGTCATTCGTTGTTAATTCGAGCGGCAGGGTTTCATTGCAAACTTCATATTTGTCTAAGAGAATTTACCATTTTAAACATGTTATAAGTTTCTTGTTCTTAAAAGACGACTACGTGTATTTAGAAAAACGGAAAAATATAAGCCCCCCCACCCGCCCTATCTGTATTGTGATGATTTTTTTATTCGCCGTCAACCAAGAGGGCGGAGCTTAACTGCAAACTACTATGTATATTAAAAAAAATTAAAACTATAGATTAAGCCTCACCCATACCTGCCCTGATCTACATAGTAATGAAGTTTTCATTCGTTGGTAGACCTAGGGGAGGAGCCTAATGCCAAAATCCATATTTCAATATAAAAATTTACCATTTCAAACGTGTTTTAAGTTTCTAAGAATAAAGAAATGTTAGACTTTTCAGTTTCTCGATTTTTAAATTTACAATTTTACGATTGTAGAATTTTTTCACTTTTCAATTATTCATTGGATTTTAAAACTTTTTCATTTATACGAATTTTCAGTTTTTAGATTTCCCACTTTTTCCACTTTACAATTTATCGAATTTTTTAGTTTTTCGATTTTACAATTTTTAATTATTCGATTTTGCAATTTTTCATTCCTTTAATTTTTCGTTTCGGCTTTTGATTTGCTCAATTTTTTCAATTTTTAAATTATTCAATGTTCTGATTTTATAAATTTTTCGTTTTTTCATTGTAAAATCTTTCAATTTTTTTAATTTAAATTTTCACGAGTTTTCAATATTTCATTTTTCGGTGTTTTAATTTTTATTGTCTTCAATTTTTCGATTTGCAATTTTTTGTTTCTGTTTTTTCTGTATATTTTAATTTTGAGTTTTTTCTTAATTGCGAAATCCATATTTCTTTGCAAAAATGTACCATTTTAACCATGTTTTAAGTCTCTTGTCTTGAAAAGATGGCTATGTATACTAAGAAACAAAAGGTAAAATATAAGCCCCACCCACCCACCCTATGTCAATTCTGATGATTCTTTTTATTCGTCGTAAGCCGAGAGGGCGGAGCTTAACTGCAATATCCCTATTTCTCTACGAGAAATTAAAAACATGTTTTTGAGTATCCTGTTGTTTAAAGAATACTATGTATATCAACAAAAAAATAAAGCCAAAGATTAGGCCCAACCCATACCCGCCCTAATCTCAATTGTGATAAATTTTTCATTCGTTACCAGATCAAAGGGCGGGGCTTAATTACAAGATCCATATTTAAACTTGTTTTAAGTTTCTTGTTCTGATAAGACGTCTACGTATATTAAGAAAAAAGGCAAAAATAAGCCCCGCCCACCCGCCCTATCTCAATTGTGATGATTTTTTATATTCGCCGTGAACCAAGAGGGCGGAGCTTATCTGCAAACTACTAGGTATACTAAAAAAAAAATAAATAAAGCCAAAGATTAAGGGCCGATTTTACAATCAAGTTAAAGGAGCTTTAAAACTAAATTTGAATTTTTACCATGGAAACACGTTGTTGAAGCAATGGTTTAAAGCTACCATTAATTAAAATTCCTTTAAGTTTTGATTATGAAACTAGTCGTAAGTTCCACCTCATCTAAATAGTGATGAAGTTTTAATTCGTTGGTAGACCTAGGGGAGGAGCTTAATTGCAAAATCCTATTTCCTTATAAAAATTTACCATTTCAAACATGTTTTCGGGGGTCTAAGAATAAAAAAATGTTAGATTTTTCAGTTTCTGGATTTTTCGATTTTACGATTGTAGAATTTTTTCACTTTTCAGTTATTCAGCATTTTAAAACTTTTTCCTTTATACGACTTTTGCAGTTTTTAGATTTTCCACTTTTTCAATTTTACTATTTATCCAATTTTTTAGTTTTTCGATTTTTCAATTTTTAATTTTTCGGTTTTGCAATTTTTCATTTTTTCAATTTTTCGTTTCGGCTTTTAATTTTCTCGATTTTTTCAATTTTTAGATTATTTGATGTTCTGATTTTATAAATTTTCTTTTTTTCAATGTAAAATGTTTCAATTTTTTAAATTTAAGTTTTCACGAGTTATCGATATTTAATTTTTCAATTTTTCTTGTCTTCAATTTTTCGATTTGCAATTTTTTGTTTCTATTTTTTTTTTTATATTTTAATTTTGAGGTTTTTTTCAATGTACTGATTTTATAAATTTTTTTTTCAATGTGTAATACTTCAATTTTTGGATTTTTAAATTTTAAAATGTTTTCAATTTTTCAATTTTATTATTTCTCTACAAGAAATTACCATGTAAGACATGTTTTTGAGTATCGTGTTTTTCAAAGGATACCATGAATATTAAGAAAACATTAAAGCCAAAGATTAAGCCCCACCTATCTGTCTTAATCTAAATAGTAATGAAGGTTTCATTCGTTGGCGGACGTAGGGGAGGAGCCTAATTGCAAAATCCATATTTCCGTACAAAAATTTACCATTTTAAACATGTTTTAAGTTTCTTGTTCTGAAAAGGCGACTAAGTATATTAAGAAAAAAGGAAAAATATAAGCCCGCCCACCCACCCTGTCTCAATTGTGATGATTTTTTTTTTTTAATCGTCGAGAACCAAAGGAGCGGAATTTAATTGCAAAATCCTTATTTTTTTCTCTACAAACTACCATTTTAAACGTGTTTTAAGTATCGAAAATTAAAAAAATCATCACAATTGAGATGGGGTGGGTGGGCGGGGTATATATTTTGCCTTTTTTTCTTAACATACAAAGTATTCTTTGAACAACACGAGACTCAAATACGTGTTTTTAATTCCTTATAAAGAAATAACTATTTTGCAGTTAAGCTCCGCCCCTTGGTTTACGGCGAATAAAAAAATCATCACAATTGAGACAGGGCGGGTGGGCGGGCTTACATTTTGCCTGTTTGTTTTAATATGTTGTGTAGACTTCTTCTTCTATATTAAGAAACAAAAGGCTAAATATAAGCCCCGCCCACCCACCCTGTCTCAATTGTGATGATTTTTTTTTATTCCTCGTAAACCGAGGGGCGGAACTTAACTCCAAAATTCTTATTTTTTTTGCGTAAAATTAAAAACATGTTTTTGAGTATCGTGTTGGTCAAAGAATACTATGTATATTAACAAAAAATTAAAGCCAAAGATTAGGCCCCACCCATACCCGCCCCAATTTCAATTGTCAAGTGTGATAGATTTTTCATTTGTTGTCAGATCGAGAGGCGGAGCTTAATTACGAGATCCATATTTGTTTAGAAGAATTTACCATGTTAAACATGTTTTAAGTTTCTAAGAATAAAAAAAAATCATCACAATTGAGATAGGGTGGGTGGGCGGGGTTTATATTTTGGCTTTTTTTCTTAACGTACATAGTATTCTTTAAACAATAGGATGCTGAAAAACCTGTTTTTAATTTTTTGTAAAGAAATAAGTATTTTGTAGTTAAGCTCCGCCCCTTTGCTTCACTGCGAATAAAAAAATCATCAGAAATGAGATAGGGTGGGTGGGCGGGCTTACATTTTGTCTTTTTGTTTTAATATGTTGTGTAGACTTCTTTTCACAACATGAAACTTAAAATATGTTTAAAATGGAAATTTGTGTAAGGAACATTTTAGCCATGTTTTAAGTTTCTTGTTGTGAAAAGATGGCTATGTATATTAAGAAACAAAAGCCGAAATATAAGCCCCGCCCACCCACCCTGTCTCAATTGTGATGATTTTTTTTTATTCCTCGTAAACCGAGGGGCGGAACTTAACTCCAAAATTCTTATTTTTTTGCGTAAAATTAAAAACATGTTTTTGAGTATCGTGTTGGTGAAAGAATACTATGTATATTAACAAAAAATTAAAGCCAAAGATTAGGCCCCACCCATATCCGCCCCGATCTCAATTCTCAATTGTGATTAATTTGTGAAGATCCATATTTGTCTAGAAGAATTGTAATACCATTTTGAACATGTTTTAAGTTTATAAGAATAAAAAAAATCATCACAATGGAGATGGAGTGGGTGGGCGGGGTCTATGTTGTTGCTTTTTTCTTAATGTACATTGTATTCTTTAAACAACACGATACTGAAAAACCTGTTTTTAGTTTTTTGTAAAGAAATAAGTATTTTGCAGTTAAGCTCCGCCCCTTTGCTTCACGGCGAATAAAAAAATCATTACAATCGAGATAGGGCGGGTGGGCGGGCTTATAATTTGCCTTTTTATTTTAACATGTTGTGTAGACTTCTTTTCACACCATGAAACTTAAAATATATTTAAAATGGAAAATTTGTGTAAGGAACATTTTAGCCATATTTTAAGTTTCTTGTTGTGAAAAGATTGCTTTGCATATTAAGAAACAAAAGGCAAAATATAACTTCAATCCAATTTTCAAATTTTTTTAAAGAGTTGTATTTGTCGGATTATTAAACATTTCAGTCGAAAGAACTTCCGACCAATCTTTTTCTTAGTTAGTCGCCCGTCCTAACCCATTCAATCCCACTACAGGTGCAAACACTTTACTTCAACGTACTACTTAGAAACCCTCGGTACCCACCCAAAATCGTGTTTTATAACACATTGTAAATAAGTAAGACTCTTGAGCACGACGACACCGGAAATTAGTTTATAGCCTTGTAAAGCGATCTAGGTGTTTTATTGGCACCTGAGTTATGAATGGACGGCCCGACAAGGGTTTGTGAAGTGGGTTCGTGGAAAGTCTGCTTAAATTGGACACGGTTCCAACTGTTTATTCACAACCAGGAATTATAAATTTTCGTAACGGATCTTACCTGACAAAATTAGTTTCCAGGTAGTTTGTTTGCGCCGGAATTATGAATGGCTACGTGAAGTTTGACGCTTGCCCATGAACGGGCCTCATTGAACGACCACACGGTAATAAAAAGCAGGAATAAATTAAGACGGTGTTTGTAATGACCGGATTGAGGCGATCGGGCTAAAAATATACTATTTGAGTATAATTACAGGAATTAATGGTGATTAAGGAGTCAATCAGAAGTGTGAAAAAAATCGGGAAAACCGGTGATGCAGGCAACCAGTAAAACACCAATCGGTGACAAACACTAGTTTAAATTTGCCAATTTCACGAGTGTTACGCCTGAAAGCAAAATAATGATTGGATTGAGGCGATCGGGCTAAAAATATACTATTTAAATATAATTACAGGAATTAATGGTGATTAAGGAGTCACTCAGGACTGAAAAAATCGGGAAAACCTGTGATGCAGGCAACCAGTAAAACACCAATCGGCGACAAACACTAGTTTAAATTTGCCAATTTCACGAGTGTTACGGCTGAAAGCAAAAGAATAATCGAATGTTAACACATATCCGTCTTTTCTACATCTACGTCAAAACATAGTTAATTTCGATTAAATTTCCGCGAAATATCTCACTCGTAACGAGGAAAAAAAACGCCAGTTAAGAAATCATACTTGGTTTTAATTTATGTACAAAATAACAACAATACAAGCTTCTACGTTATACGTATAATTTTATTGTAACGGTAGAAACAATAAGAAAAAAATTAAGACAGGATTTATAATAAATTAGTGTACATCCAAACTCTACCAACTAGTCAACCATTCCCAATTTACAATATAAAAACCTTCATTACAAAGTATTTACACGATAGTAAGGCACATTCTGATTGAAAACGTAATAAGTACTTCCGGGAAACGATATGTAAAAAACGAAAATTGAAGGAGGGCGTAGAGGAAGGTTCACCATTTTGGCCTGATTTCTTTGAAGACCCATTGCTGGTAGGCGTTGTTTATATCACACGGCATTAAGGAAAGATGGGACGTTTGTGGGTGGAGAGCTATACACTTCTTGTGGACTCGGTGGAGAAGTGTATGGGTGTTTTCGTCGTACAACCATGGCCCATCCACCGTTCCCATACGACAAAACGCCAGTTTAATACCTTGAGCGTCGGCTTCGATACACCGCTCACCCACCCCTAGTTGTCCTTTCGCGTTAAGCCGCATTAATTGGTTGTTACCGAACCCGTGACAGTGCTGAATGGCCATTAACGCCGGAGGGGCGTGGCCTAACGTATCCAGACACTTAGTCACAGCGACTGAGCGCAGCTCCCCGAAGTGGATATTCGGCGGAAGCTCTGGATATTTATCCAGAACATCGTAGGCGACGTTCTCCATAAACCAATCGAAATTTTTACAGTTGAGACGTTGTTTCAAAGCCAACTGCTCAGTGATGTCGCCCATGTCCAAAAAGCGCGCCATTGGTTCGCGCGTGTAAAAATACTCCTTGTATTTATCATCAAACCAGGTTTCTATAACCCGTTTGTAGTTGATTGTGATCAATGGCCCCTTCTTCTTTTGAGCGAGTTTCCCGAAATTATACGGCATGAAACTCCGGTACACGTGACCCACTCGGGAGCACGGAACCCACTCGATGCTGCCCCCACACTGCCAGATTTTGAAACTAAGCTCGAAGTTTTCCCCACCCCAGACTAGCAAACCGGGATCGTAGGCCCCCAATTCCAGGAAATAGTCCCGGTTTATGGCGAATAACCCTCCTGCGTGAGTCGGGCTTTTATAAGGTTCACTATTGTGTGCTCTCGTGTTGAGTTCGCGTTGTGGCACCTCGTTTTCTTTGTACAGCATACCCCATTCGAAAATCCCGCGGAAGTGGCGATCCTCCCCGTACACAGGTCGGTATTCGAAGGTTTTATGGTCAATACCGTCGATCACGGGGACTGTCATTATAGTCCGGTCCCGATAAATCGGGGCTAGGAGAGGGGGTAACCAGTTCGTGTTGACTTCGCAATGGGCATCCAAAAACACGATAACCTCACCTTTGGCCTCTTTAGCCCCCCGGGACCGAGTTCTGATTAGCCCCTCTCGTTGCGAATTACGAATCAAGCGCACTTTCCCATTGAACTGCTCGATGTAGTCTTCCAGGCGCCCCTTCAAGTTTTCTTTGTCGCTGAAATCATCTACCAGGAGCACCTCTTTGAGCATTTGAGGGGGCGACCGGTTGATAACCGAGTGTACAGTCCTTAATAAAACAGACCATCCTTCATTGTGAAAAACTATAATCACGCTGGTCGTGGGTAAGTTCAATGGGTAGTCCCAATGTCTACACTCGGATAATCGCGTGTCTAGGATTGTTCTATCCAGAGAAATCTCGTCAGAGCAGGCCACATTCATCCCATATTCCGACTCCGATTGATCAGCGTCGTTCTGCTGGTCCTGTCTCAAGTGATGCGGCTTGCCCCCTTCACCCGGGCCCTCTCGATCTTCCGCCTCTTTAGGCTCAAAATTCCCCAGTCCTGACACTAGTTTGGGCCGCTCGCGGTGCGTCAACCTCGCCACTACCGGCGACTCGAAACTCAAACTATTGTCTTTGTTGTACGTGGACAACAAGTACAAGATCATCACCAGGATGCAAACTCCAGCTGCTATTCGTATTGTTCGGGACTTCCGGCTGAGATACAAGCGCATGAATACCATTTTTGTGGCAGTCTGGAAAGTAGTAGGTGAGCAACTACAGGGCGGTGGCGGGTCTTACCTAGGTCATAGGGGTCTGGGGGGTTAAGTTTCCATTGATCGCGTTGGCGAGATTCGCTTTGTGTTGTTTTTGAGTCTTTTTTTTACTGAGGGTGAGAAATGTCAACACGTAAACACTTGCCGGTGTTTGACATTGACGTTTCGCGGTTGGTAATGCAGCTCACTGTCGTCACGTCAGTAGTGGTGGCGCTACGCGCCACCAGGCGGCGCTCGTCTTGGTAAAATCGATGGTACGCCAATCTTCTGAGAAATATTTAAAAAATATGGTAATTACGCCGCACGCGACTTGTTTTATTTGATTAGGCTTCGAGTAATCAGCGAGCTTTAATAAATCGTGGTGTGTCGGTGGTGTTCTAGTTTGGGGTAGGGGAGAGTGGGGGTAATGATTGCTTCGGGTAAATAATTTATCGTTCTTTGTGGCTTAATAACAGAGCCGGATTATAATAATTGTAATTATCTTTTACTGACTTTCACGAAAATGATACATTTTGTGACTAATGGATGTTTGAATGATAGGGGCAATAAAATATTAATGGGTTTTGTTGAAAAAGGGGCGCCACAAATGCCTCCATTATCGCTTTTCGGGGAAGTTGTGGACGTAATTATTTCGGGTTGAATTTTTCATGTGTGCAAATAGGGGGTAGGGGTGAATGCGAGATTGGTGGGGCGATAAAAGTAAATCGTAGTTGGATATTTGATGTCATTGTATGGGTCATTTACTCTAGAGTAAATAGCTTTTGTGTTACATAATAATTCCATATATTGCACTAAACTTGGGGAATTTTGGGCCGCGTTCAGTACTCCGGAAATTTGACGCAAGCTGCTACTATTCCATCTGTTCGGTAAACGGGCTATAAATGGCGACGGTCATTTTAATTTTCATTCAAAAGCTAAGATCAATCACATCAAACATTCGAAAACCGTAATTAGAAAATTGGAAAATCGAGATGTTTAGAAACCAGAACTTCGAAAAATCGAAAAACTGAGAAATCGCATTGGCCCAAAATCAAAAAATTCAAAATTGAAAAGTCAAAAATCTTAGATTTAAATACTTAGTCGAAAAACTGAGAAATCGAAAAAACGAAGAACTGAAAAATCGAGTAATCAAGACACCAAAAAATCATTCATTTGAAAAACCGAAATATTGAAAAATCAAAAAGCCTAGAAATCGAAAAGTTGATAAATAAAAAATCGATTAATCGTAAAATTGAGGATCGACAAATCGAAAATTTAGAAAGCCAAAAATTGAAAAATGGAAAAAGTTAAAAACCAGGGAGAAATTGAAGAATGGAAAAATTGAAAAACCGAAAAATCGAAATCCGAAATTTTGAGAAATCGAAAAATTAGAAAAATTAAGATTGAAAAATGGAAATATGTATCGTAAAGTTGGAAAATCGATATGTACAGAAATCGAAATTTCGAAAAATCGAAAAACTGTAATATTATATTAAAAAATTTAAAATCGGGAAGTCGAAACATCAAAAAATCGAAAGATCCAAATGTAAAATTTAAAAATGGAAAATCTAAAAATACAAAAAATAGAAACCAGGAAATTGAACTCTAAACTTTAAAAAATTGAAAAATCGAAAAATCCAAAAATTGAAATATCTAAAAACTGAAAAGTGGAAAAATTCGAAATTGAATCATTTCAATTAAAAAAAAAACTATAAATCGAAGAAACGAAAAATCGAAACATCGAAATTTAAATCTTAGATTTGAATATTCGAAGAACTGAAAAATCGAAAAAGTAAAAAATAAAAATTTGAAAAATCGAAAAATTAAAAAATCAAAGTACTGAAAACTCAAAACAAAGAAATCGAAAAGTTGAAAAATAAAAATTCGATTAATCGTAAAATTGAGAATCGATAAATCGAAAATTTAGAAAGCCAAAAATTGAAAAATGGAAATTTAAAAACCAAAAAATGAAAAAGTTGAAAAATCGAAAAACTGAAAAATATAAATATAGAAATATCAAAATATTGAAAAATCTGAAATACCGAAAAATAGAAATCCGAAAATTTGAGAAATCAAACGATCGAGCAATCAAAACATTAAATAAATTAAAATTTAAACAATCAAAAATTGAAATATGTATCGAAAAATTGGAAAATTGAAATGTATGTCCAGAAATCGAAATTTCAAAAAATCGAAAAACTGAAATACATATTTTATTTATTTTATTTTATTTTTTTTTTAATTTTTTTTTTTAATTTTCTACAGGTATATAACCCAATTACAGAAAATATAAAATAACATAGGAGTATAAAAGAACATATAAAACAACAATTGTTTACAGTATGTATAGTATATATATTAAAAAATCGAGAAATCGAAACATCAAAAAATCGAAAGATCGAAATATAAAATTTAAAAAATGGAAAATAAAAAAAAGGAACCATGAAATTAAAGTCTAAAATTTAAAAAATTGAAAAACTGAAAAATTCAAAAATTGAAATGTCGAAAAACTGAAAAGTGAAAAAATCGAAAAATCGAGAAATCGAAGCACCAAAAGATCGAAATTTCGAAATATCGAGAAGTCGAAAAATCGAAAACCTGAGAAATCAAAATTGCCCAAAATAGAAAAATTTGAAATTGAATAATTAAATTCAAAAAATCTATAAATCGAAAAATTGAAATTTAAATCTTAGATTTGAATATTCGATAAACCGAGAAATAGGAAAAATAAGAACTGAAAATCAAAAAAGTAAAAAATCAAATATTTGAAAAACCGAAAAATTGAAAAATCGAAGTACTGAAAAATAAAAAACATCGAAAAGTTGAAAAATAAAAAATTGAGAATCGATAAATCGAAAATTTAGAAAGGCAAAAATTGAAAAACGGAAATTTAAAAGCCAAAAAATGAAAAAGTTGAAAAATCGAAAAACTGAAAAATATAAATATTAAAATATCAAAATATTGAAAAATCTGAAATACCGAAAACTGTATAAATCGATAAATCGAAAAAGTGAAAAACCGTGGAGAAATTGAAGAATGGAAAAATTGAAAGATCGAGAAACTGAAAAGGCGAAAAATTGAAAATTTTAAAAATCGAAAAACTGAAAAACCGAAAAATCGAAATCCGAAAATTTGAGAAATCAAAAGATCGAGCAATCGAAACATTTAAAAATTAAAATTTAAACAATCGAAAAATCGAAATATGTATCGAAAAATCGAGAAATCGAAACATCAAAAAATCGAAAGATCGAAATATAAAATTTAAAAACTGAAAAATCCAAAAATTGAAATGTCGAAAAACTGAAAAGTGAAGTGAAAAATCGAAGCACCAAAAGATCGAAATTTCGAAATATCGAGAAGTCGAAAAATCGAAAACCTGAGAAATCAAAATGGCCCAAAATAGAAAAATTCGCAATAGAATCATTTAAATTCAAAAAAATCTATAAATCTTAGGTTTGAATATTCGAAAAACTGAGAAATAGGAAAAACAAGAACTGAAAAATCGAAAAATTGTAAAATTGAGAATCGATAAATCGAAAATTTAGAAAGCTAAAAAATGAAAAAGTTGAAAAATCGAAAAACTGAAAAATGTAAATATTGAAATATCAAAATGTTGAAAAATCTTAAATACCGAAAACTGTATAAATCGATAAATCGAAATTTAAAAAAAAAACGAGGAGAAATTGAAGAATGGAAAAATTGAAACATCGAGAAATTGAAAAATCTAAAAATTGAAAATTTTAAAAATCAAAAAATTGAAAAACCGAGAAATCGAAATCCGAAAATTTGAGAAATCGAAAGATCGAGCAATCGAAACATTAAAAAATTTAAAATTTAAACAATCGAGAAATGGAAATATGTATCGAAAAATTGGAAAATCCATATGTCCAGAAATCGAAATTTCAAAAAATCGAAACACTGAAATATACATATATTAACAATTTTTAATCGGGAAATCGAAACATCAAAAAATCGAAAGATCGAAATATAAAATTAAAAAAATGGAAAATCAAAAAAAGCAAAGAACTAGAAACCAAGAAATTGAAGTCTAAAATTTAAAAAATTGTGAAATTGAAAAATCCAAAAATTGAAATGTCCAAAAACTGAAAAGTCGAAAAATCGAAAAATCGAGAAATCAAAATGGCCCAAAATAGAAAAATTCGAAATTGAATAATTTAAATTCAAAAAATCTGTAAATCGAAAAATTGAAATTTAAATCTTAGATTTAAATATTCGATAAACTGAGAAATAGGAAAAATAAGAACTGAAAAATCGAAAATGTAAAAAATCAAAGAATCAAAAATTTAAGAAACTGAAAAATCGAAATATTGAAAAATCAAAAAACCAAGAAATCGAAAAGTTGAAGAATAAAAAAATCGATAAATCATAAAATTGAGAATCGATAAAGACAAAACATGAAATGAAAAAGTTGAAAAATCGAAAAACTGAAAAATGTAAATATTGAAATATCAAAATATTGAAAAATCTTAAATACCGAAAACTGTATAAATCGATAAATCGAAAGTTAAAAAAAAGCGAGGAGAAATTGAAGAATGGAAAAATTGAAACACCGAGGAATTGAAAAATCGAAAAATTGAAGAACCGAGAAATCGAAATCCGAAAATTTGAGAAATCGAAAGATCCAGCAATCGAAACATTAAAAAAATTAAAATTTAAACAATCGAGAAATGGAAATATGTATCGAAAAATTGGAAAATCGATATGTCCAGAAATCAAAATTTCGAAAATTCGAAAAACTGAAATATATAACAAAAAATTTAAAATCGGGAAGTCGAAACATCAAAAAAAAGATCGAAATGTAAAATTTAAAAAATCGAAAATTGAAAAAAAAAAAAAACAAAAAACTAGAAACCAGGAAATTAAAAAATCAAAAAATTGACAACTGGAGAAATCGAGAAATCGAAATATCAATAGAAAATTCGAAATTGAATCATTTAAATTAAAAAAAAAAACCTATAAATTGGGAAACTGAAAAATTTAATCATCGAAATTTAAATCTTAGATTTGAATATTCGAAGAACTGAGAAATAGAAAAAACATGAACTGAAAAATCGAGAAATCAAGACTTCATACATTTGTAAACTTGTAAACGAAAAACGAAAAATTAAAAAATATTGAAAAATCGAAAATCCAGAAATCGGAAAGATAAAAACCAAGAAATC